GCGCCATCGCTGCACCGCCAGGTACCGGGGAGAAAAGGCCCGCCTTTCCTCCCTCTTCCTCCTCCTCTGCTCTCGCTCTCTCTCTCCCTCTCTCGCTCTCTCTCTTCCTACCCTCTGAGTCTCAATCTACTCTCGAGTCGCTCCTACTGGACTACTACGGCTATGGAGGATGGTTACGAGTTCTGATGACAGTTGAGATAGTAACATTGAGACATTGGTTGAGGACTACTTCAGGGATTTGACTTCACCTATTTCTAGAGATGTATCTTGATATTGGGAGATCGACATCTGGGACACCGTGAGGCTCTGTTTTCACAACATTTCGGTTTTGCGTTACTTGTGACATTCGAGATACTATTTTTGGATACTTGGTTTTGACGTCATCTTCCCTCTCCTCCTCCTTTTCATCTCTCCTCTCCCTCCATTCGTCCGTGTATGATCTCAGACCCTAGCCTTTTCCTTCCGTGTCCAAGGCCAGGGCTTTCACACCACTGATGCATGTTGAGAGTATTCGTTGCAGTCTGAGTCAGGTCAGAGTCAGTCCATGTGTACCAAGTCTTCCACTGTATCTGTATTTGTCTTAACTCTGTATTATCAGGTCGGTTCTGGGAATTTGCGCCATACTTATGATTGTGTTTCTCGAGTATGCAACATCATCCCTTGCTTCATGGAAAATCTCTATATATAGGGGAGAAGATGGATTGTCAACTAGGTTGGACTCCGCAACCCTTAGATCGGTTCTAAAGTGATTTTACGTTGTTTCCTATCGTTTAACAGCTTCCTTGACATCTTGGTTGCTATCTGGGACAATGTGGAGTAGTAGTCTTGGAACCAAACCCACCTGTCATGGATGGGGAGGTAGCTGCCTCTCATATTCTGCAGGCAGTCCAAGACACCCTTTTGGAAGGATTCGCTTCGTAGAAGCGAGTTGTTAAGCTTATGAAAGTTGGCTCCTTTCTTCGAAAAATTCCTCAAGATTGATGACGAGTTCAATAGGTTTGTGGTTCAGCCATGTATAAGGGTGCAGGGGGAGGATGTTCACATGTTTGGCCGCGCCCATTAGTGTTTCTGATATCAAAAAGTATTCTATAAAGGAGAAAGCAGTGTGGTGGGCATGATTCTTCTTTACTAAAGCGAAAACTCTTACTCCCGGATGCAAGGTGCGGTAAGGTTCCACTAGGTTACGATCCACCATCAAATGCTAGATGGGGACTGCCTCTTGTGTGGGTTGGCTGGCCGTCGATCTACAGATACTGTCTGTTGTAGGGTCTAGGGTGGCGTTCCAGTCACCTCCTAGGATGCAGGGCGTTAGAGGAGGAACGAGATTTCCTATGCTTGCTATGAAAGTTGATCTTTCAGATGAATTGTTCAGTGTATAGAGTTTAATTACCCTCAATTCTTCTTTCCATCGGAAGTCCATCAGACACCATCTCCCCTTTGTTGTGTCTACTTCCGTGTTCACTATGGAGCCTGTTGTGTAGAGGCGGGAATACTTGGGAATAAGGATGATTGTACCCTTTGCGCAAGAGTTGTCTGGGACCACATTTCATCCTTGACACCTCCTAGTTTCCTTGCCAGCGCTCTACGAATTTTGTTGTGCTCAATTGATAGTGTGAGGTGGGATTCTTGCAGCAGAATTATACCAGATGATTTGTTTGACTGGACTGTCGGTCCTTATGTCGTTCATTTTTTCTTCTTTGTCTAGAATATTGCCCAGTACATTTATGTTCCAGCTCCTAATGACTATTCCTTCTGTTTTCCAATTTATCTAGTTCTCCTTTGCGTTAGCCCTACTTCTGAAGTTCTTAATCATTGGGAAATTAGGGGGTTAGTGAAGTCGGGGTAGAGGGAGTAGGATGCCTAACAAGGGTCCGGGCATGTTGCCTCCATGGGCGATGTGGTAGCATCCGGCAGGGTCTAGCCATGTCTTGGATGGTGTGTCATTCATCTTATATTCTCCCATGCATGTGCTGGCTACCTGATATGAGGACGGTCGGTTTTGCGTTGCTTCTTCGTCTTGCCATTCTTCCATGTCGTCCTTTGAGCAGTCGCTCCTGTAAAATCTGTCCAGATCCAGGGAGAAGGCTCTTGTCTCTAGATCACTGCCTCCACTGAGGGTTCCCGCACTCAACAGCTGTGCTACCGAGGCTGCCAGCAGTTCCGCTGAAATACCTGGGCCAGCTAGCACGCTATATGGTATTGCTGCAACTGTCCTCCATGGTTCCCACGTCATACCACTCTTTAGTTTCGTGTTCACTGACATTTTGGCGATCACGGGGGAGAAGGCGCCAGGTGTATGCCTCTCTTCGTCCATCTGTTGGTCTTGCTGCTCACCATGATCTGTATGTGAGGAGCTGGTGTTACATACTCCAATGAGTATGGGCAGAACCAAGAATCAACCAATATAGGATGAGTTTTTATGCAGTGGAAGTCTTATAACGAAACTGACTC